TTCGCAAACATTTCTATGTTCAGTCACGGGATATTCAACTTTTATTTAATTAAACTTAATTAAAACGAATTCTACGTTGAATTGCATTGTAATTGAGTTTAATCTCAGACTAGTAATACAACAGACTGGCCTATTGTTTAAGGTGTTAATCGGCTTAATTGTATATGCTATGTGTGCCACGCTCGGTAGCATTGGCATAGACACCGTCGAAGTTTACCGAACACCGGATATTCTGCACACTTCGCGCTTCTTCGGAAATTGCGTTTTTCTTCGTAAAACGGATCCGGAAATTTTTAAAACAACGGGAGATGCGTTCGTGACATTTTGACCTTTGCAGCTGTGTAAGAATTTTAAGAATCGACCAATAATTAGGCGAGTTACAAGTAACTGAATGTCTTAGTGTTTACCTCAAATAGTTTTTGAATATATAATGAGCAACTTTGAAACGATATTTCTCGCTGTTGCGGATTTTGCGGAAGGTTTCCAATATTTTTTTCGGACAGAGCACTAGTCTGAGGTTTAATTAAACTCCAATTAAAACACAATCCTATATAGGGACGCGTTTTAATCGAGTTCATATCGCAACTATATTAAAAGTTAATCCAATGAAGTCCTCGGAACATGTAGCAATACAAGTATGTGTGTGTGTGTGTGTGTGTGTGTGTGTGTGTATGCACGAGGCCTGTGTATGTACATATTTGCTCATTGTCCTGTGCCACCATCGTCCAATATTACAGTTGCCTTCGGTAGCAAAGGTTTACAGTATCTAAAGGGCGGCGGTCGTCGCAGAGGGAGTGTTTGATTTTCATGTAAACATGTACACGCGTTGTGTACGTTGTTATGGGTCCCATAAATCGAGCAGGATGTGAAGCGACGACCACCGCCCTTTAAAAACAACCCGTTGTAGGGCGGAAATATCAGTGAAATATAGACTCTCTGAAATATCCTGCATTTTGAAAGGGCAAATTTTGCTGACACATAGGGTTTCAGCTTGATTTTGGAGGGGCGACGCCCCCAACATTATTTTCGAGGGGGCAATCGCAAATTACATCATGTCCGACCTAAACTTTAAAAAATACAATATGACTGCCAGTGTGGTCAAATAGTCAAACCTAAAAACATAAGTCAGGGGGTATTATTTCAGAACACATACCCAAATCACGAAATCTACACTTCAAGTTTTACTCCACAGATCTTCAATTTAAAAAAAACACACCTCGTTTGCATTCGGGCTGCCGGCTGGCTGGTTAATAGAACCTCTAAGGTGATAACAATTTTGTTGAACCAAAAGTAAATATTTTACCTAAGTTGACGGAATGGACATTCAATACCTTACGCTAATTCGTAGACAAGGGCAAGGTGTAAAATGTAATCAGATATTTTATTCGTCCGTAATTTGTAGGCGTATAAAGCATTTTCCGAATTTAGTGTCGTCGTACGCAATTTCCAATTTGATTCTTAAACACAAATTATCAGAAATATTATAAAAATGTAAAATGTAATTGGGAATTTGTTTTATCTGTAAAGTGCAAAAACCTATTTTTACTGTAAATGGAAGTTTCATTTTATTTCCTATAAAAACGTAAACATTTTATTTCCGTAACCTGTACAAGCTATCCCCTTTCGCGTTTTAAAGGGCGCCTCGTGTGTCAAGTTGTATCACATCTTTCGTTTAGTAGGGCCTGCATCATACCCTGGGACTCAGTCCGTCAAAACCGAGTAATAATGTGTGTAGCCTTTAAACAGCAATCCTAAAATTATATAGTTTTCCACAGTTATTTATAAAAATAAAAACAAAAGACCATATGGCAGTCTACAAAAAATGCGCTGGTGTACAACACTCGATTTATTTGCAATATTCGTTTCTCTGATTAGTCTGCCAGGTTCTGTTGAAATACCATTTTATTTCCGGGTAGATTATAAAATTGAAAAATGGGGGGCAATAATTTATTTAATATAGTTTTTGTGTTAATTAATGGAAATTGTGCTGATTATTTATTTATATATTCAGATTGAAAACGCCGAGGTTCATTTTTTCCATTCCGGGCAATGAAGAAAATCCCTAAATATCATTCTTACCCTCTATATAAATGGGTTATTCCTGGAGCCACTTCCGGGTGTCCCTCTCTGACAACGAGGCTGAGGGCATGCGTGGAAAAGCATGCTGACAGACATTTTCTTATGCAATCCTCGTATAAAGTGATTTTCGGATGTTTCATGGTATTGCACGATATATTTGTATAAATTCTGTGCGGTTACATACTTCAAGACAAACAGATCTTCACATTTTGTCGACAGAAATATATCGGAAATCGAGAATTCTTTGTAGTTCATTTAGTGGCAAAATGGAAGTGACCGAGTCTCCAGCTGGAGGGGGTGACCAGGCGGCGGCCGGCGACCAGCCACCGAAAACTGCTGCCCAGCTGAAGAAGGAAGCGAAAAAGCAAGCGAAACTTGACAAATTCAAGCAGAAACAGGAAAAACAAGCCAAGATGCAAGGCAACCAAAATACAGAGGTAGATCACTGTCCAATACAAACATATGTCTACAGCAGAATACAGATTACATCATATGTGCCGAAGAGGGGTATACGCAAAATGGGGAGGGGCACCGGAAGGGCACAGTTAATAATAACACATGTTTGTGAGGGTGATATCACGATTTGTTGATGTGTTTATGAAAACCCATCCCAAAATGAATGAATATACACTTCACTGGCCACTGCACAGAAATCATAATTGCGTATCATTATACAGTTGTTTTATAGATTTCAGAAAGGCATTCAATCATGTTTGGACTCAGAGAGATGCATTATTTCTTAAATTGCAAAACTTAGGGGTCAATGGAAATTTTTATAATATTGTGAAGTCAATGTATACAGGTTTAAACTACAAAGTAAAATTACCTAATGGTGTATCAAATGATTTTAAGTCTACTTGTGGTGTTAAGCAAGGATGCAATATTTCACCAACACTTATAATATATTTCTGAATGACCTACCCGATTTATTTGGTAAAAAGGATGATGACCCAGTCTCGATTGGTAAAAAACATATAAATTGTATCTAGTATGCAGATGATTTAGTATTGGTGTCTAAAACTCCCGAAGGTCTACAAAATTGTTTAAATAAACTAGCCAA